AATTCCCTTTCTCGTCTGGACATATCGCGCTTTTATCTGCTCGCGACAATGGGAGATCAGTGAATCGAGCGCTACTGACGTTCAATGGAATCCGATGACAAACGATTCTCGTTATGAAGAACGAAATTCATCGAGAACACCACCACTGTGTATCGCTTTCGATCGATAAAACTATAATATAAATGCAAGGGAGGAGAGATTCGAAAAGTAAAATTCGAGAAGGTAAAATGCTCGACGTCAACGGATTTGATTGAGGTGGCGTGTTAATTAAAAATTCCAAGCGTCGAAATTAAAGAAACTGTTTAACAGTTGGTCCACGGATACGTAAAAATCGCTTGAAGTCCGTGGAACGACGTAAAAGAACTTCCTTTCGCGTTGGCCAAATGTTTCGTTGAAAAAAGAACGTAAAGGGAAAACCAAGAGCAGGAAGGAAACGAGAGAAAGAGAAACGAGCTCCAAATCGTCGACCGTCACTAATTCGAGTTCGTTTTAAGCTCCTAGTTCTCTATTTTGGTTTTCAGGGGACACTTTGCAGTCCGACCACGCCGTCCTTATCCTTTGCGCGTATAAATATCACGAGAAAAAAACGATCTTCACGACGCTATTCACGATTAAAATCCTTTCCTTCATGGAAACCAGCTAGGAAAGGAAAGGGAACCAGCCAAGATGGAATTGATCCCGTTTGTCTATATATCGAGCGATCCCTCGAGAAGACTAGTTGAAAAATTATTCTCGACACGAGCGAAGGCGTGAAAATTAATTCTGAACTGTTTCAGGTCTTTTCGAGGGAAAATTGCCGCCTCGGACTAACAGTAACCGAAAAATATACCAATGTTAAGCAACTTATTTGGATCATTTAAAAAGCGAGCCGATTTCTCCAAGTCTACAGGAAAAATGAGAAGGATATTTCGTAGGAGATGAAATAGAAAAGGTGTGGACTCACCGGGAGAAGATTGGAAATGTTGAAAAGTTGTGATTCGGCTTATTGCGACGATCACTCTTCGCGGAGAGGAAGGAACTGCGATTACCCTCGATTTCCAGAGTTTCACGCTGCTTACCTGAAGAACACGCAAGAAAAAAACAATATGAAACAAAAGAGAAAAATCGAAGGAGCAGACAAATTTCGAACGAGAACATTAATTCAGCTGGTGAAACGAAGCACCTCGTTGCAACGATACTCCAACATTTTTCACTTTTAAACTCGAACTACGGCTAAAGTAAATTATAGATTGCCTACCATCGGCTGACTCCAGGAATGTAGCAGCAAGGAAAGAAAAGCGAGCTACCGAGAACGACTTGCAGCAGGGCAATTTCCAAATTTAAGATTCTCCAGGGCTTATCACCAAATAGTTTGCCTCTCGTTAATTCACGTATATTTTTTTTCTTTCGCTTTAAATCGAGCTCTTGCAAACAAAGTCGCTGAATCATAACACAAGATCCAAAACTAGCTTGTGTTTCTCTTTGCTCAGATGTATCCATCTGTTAGGACGAAAATACTCCACGTTGATGAACATAAAAATTGAATAAAATAACTTAAATATGAAACTATGCTACGTTCGTGACTCTGCTCGAATTTTTCTTGCGTCAATTGCTAACTTCCCTATTGTTTGGGCGGTTTTTGCTTTTTTGAAACCTCGTTAATTTTCCTTTTAAAAAATGTATACATTGATATCTCAATGAGCAGATAATTCGTAGCGAAAAAGAGAAAATAGTGGACAACGTTGAAATTGAACATGAAAGAGATCTTTACTGCTGAAATATTTCTTGAGCACATTTTTCATTTCCATCGTTATTATTATCAAGCAGCTTTGTGCAAGCGTTGTACACCTTATTTATCGATTTCACACCAATAGTACATCTAATCTTAAGTGAAGACTCTTAATAGATCCTCAAAGATCCTTCAAGCGATCGGCGCTTTTCTCTTGATGAGACTATCTGGCAAGTACGAAGGAGTATAAAAAGGTAGATCCATGGTAATTGTCGCATTACAATTATATATCAAACTAACAATTTTACGATACTATACAAATACTATAAAAATTTAAGTATCCTTTCCCCTCTCGTGTCTAGTAACTCGATAGTTTAAACTCTAAACTATTCTGTTAGTTAGTACTCCCTGATAAGGTCAGTTTATATAAAAAGTACATACAGATATATTTTTTCATCTTTTTCTTACGAGGGAAAAAGTTCTAACAAACCGGTCAGGAAATACACGGAAAATCGTGTCACCTTTCTTGCTACTTCACTATTTTATACTATGCTCTTTTCTGCTATAAAAATTCTCTTTTCAAGATGTAGAAATATCCGTTGGCATAATTTTGAGATATCCTTCGTAGTAAGCGGAATGTTATGGAGGACGAAACGAAACAGTTGTATTTCAGCAATATCACTCTCAACGATACGGAAATATAAAGAACAATTTTAGAAAAGTGACAAGAATTTCATCTCGTTGATATAGTACCTTAAAGTGATGTTTTAAATCAAATTCCACCACGTATAATTTCCTGTATATTTTAACTTACGCCGTATATCCTCTTTTTGTAATTTTTGTACGTGCACGTTTTATAAAATTCAACATTAGTACAACATTGTACAACAGAAGATCAACATTAGTACAAAAATTGTATGTAAATACTTGTGTTAAATATTTCATATTATTCTATGCATTTCTTTGTTAATAATAAACGTTATTACATACATATTTGCTATTTATAGCTGGGCTGAACATCGTACGACAGATTATGAACGAATTTATCGAAAATCATTCGGCTTTTCATTGTTCGTAACGCGATACTAAAATCACTTTTTATTAGACGTTTTAATTGGTAAAGCAATAATAATTGCTTTGGTAATTGGACAATGCAATGGAAACACGATGCTTTCAATGCAATCTTCTAAAGAGTGAATTTAAAAGGATATCGTTGAAATAAGAAATCTTGATCATTTAATCGAATACAGCATAAGTTGCTCGAGGAAACTTTTAATAGTGAAAAGTTTCTTTGTTCAAGTACAATGTTTAATATCAATATCGGTACAACAAGGACAAACTGTATCCATTTTCATGTGCGTTATCATTATATATACATTTGTATCTTCACGTGGTTTCAAGCTTTGGTTCGATGTTTTCGCCGTACATGTTGGTGCAGTCGTGATGAATTCCTCTGACATTTGACTTATCATGTTTCAATATCATGCGGCCCTTCAAACTGGCTCCAAGCTGAAGAATGGATACGCTTCCACTATCTTATCAAAAATTATTTCACACGCCATCTATTTCTTAACTTCTATTCTTTCTTCGTGATTACAAATTTTTTCTCAGAAATTTGAAAAACTTCACTGTAGATTATCGTTTAACATCATTCCAGAAAATTATCCTATTATGCCGCCCAAATGTAGTCCAACATGAGAATGTTTTTGTGTACTTTCGTAAATTTGTATCAAATTATTCCCTACTGCTTTGAAAGATATGTTTTTCCACTAACTTTGTCTAGAAAGTTCCTGTGAACTAGATTATCATTGGTTAAAGTATTTGTTACCAACATAACATGACAGCTAGAAAAAAAGATTAAAATAACTAAACTATAATCTGTCCAGTTAATACTCTGGTCCACGGAATCGCTAGGAAAGACCATCCAGTTGGACGACCAACCAATTTGTGTTGAAAAAAGATCAAGATGGAAGGCAAGAATAGATTTCATTCTGCGAAACAGACAGAGACGACTGAGGAGTTATTCATAATATCTATGTATATATATATATATATATATATATATATATATATATATATATATATATATATATATATATATATATATATATATATATATATATATATATATATATATATATATATATATATATATATATATATATATATATATATATATATATATATATATATATATATATATATATATATATATATATATATATATATATATATATATATATATATATATATATATATATATATATATATATATATATATATATATATATATATATATATATATATATATATATATATATATATATATATATATATATATATATATATATATATATATATATATATATATATATATATATATATATATATATATATATATATATATATATATATATATATATATATATATATATATATATATATATATATATATATATATATATATATATATATATATATATATATATATATATATATATATATATATATATATATATATATATATATATATATATATATTTGTATTTATGCATATATATATATGAATTATTTACAAAAGTCGTTACATGTATAAATAACGATATTTAGAAACACGCAGCTTTCTCAATGATTATAGTACACTCCCTGAATGATGATAGTGAATGAATCGAAAAGTTCATAATTAGTCATTGATTAGTGCGAATGAACAGCCACTCTGTGCGAGATATTCTCGAGTTGTAAGAAATCATTGAACAAGAGGAAAGTGAAATCGAAGGAATCGGTGAATGGGGGAAAACAACAACGCAGTGTTCTGCGTGCCAGAGGCCCTCGATTCTGGCAAAATGAAAATCCACAAACTCGTGTAGAATGAATGAGTGCAGCTTCCAATTTTCTAATGTAAATTTAGTCTTCCTAAATTTGTGAAACCTTGATATTCTTGAAATACGCGGAATTCACGAAGGATGTCATTGGAAGCGTGGAGAGAAAAAGAGCAGAAAATCGATGGAACTTACAACGACGTAACGTCAAACTAACGATGAAACGGAGCAGAACTTAATTCTTCCTCTTCCGAAGAAATATTTTTAAAAAAATCCATACAAAAGAAAATAGAAAAATAATGACATTGGAGAGCACTGATTCGCAAAAATTTGTCAACTGGAGAGAAAACATAAACAAAAAGCATACTTAGAGGGATGGCAAAGCATAAGAGAATAATACGCAACGAAGATCAAGGATAAAAGAGAATCATTGTCAAAGGTATAACGAACAGTTGTTCGAAAAATTTAGCCAGTTTAAATTCAGCGACAATGACAGAAATCATGTCATTATTATTTGAGATAGCATTTGATCCATATCCCAGATCTCACACGTAACATCGACGTCTCTGTTCCTATTAATAACATTATACAATTATGTACGTACGAATGTATAAAATTCTGTTTTGTTTGTTTCATTTTACGACTAATACGGGAATGTACGATCCGTTGTTTGTCGCTAAGCGCCCTCGCGGCGCTGGTTAAATCATCGAAATATCGTTACAACGATTTTCTTATAAATACGACAAAATTTATCGAGAACGAACTCGTCGAGATCGAACAACCTTATCGAAATGGTTTCTTTCTTTTCCTTTCTTTTCTTTTCCTCGATTCATTTACCTGCAATATATTCATCGTCAAAGGAACATGAACCTCGTCGAATTCGCGCTCGACAAAACCGGAAGTAACTTCAATCGTTACTCGCGGGAATGTTTCTTGTTATAGTTCGGATTATCGAATAAAATAAAAAAAGAAACAAACTTGCTCACAATAGCTCCATTGTCGATCAATCGTCGATTGACTTCCTTGATCCTACTTTTCTTTTCTTTCTTTTCTTTTTTCTTGCTTGACGATTCTTGCTTCCGAACATTTCATCCTCAAATGATGTATGGTTACATTATGATCGTGACAACTACACATGGTATGGCACACCTACGTGTGAATTCATCATTATTCGAAAAGATTTCGAATCGGACCACATTCCGCATTAATAGACGAAGATGTTTTGCACGCTGGAAAATCAATTAATGCTAATATACACTGATCGTAAAACAATAGCTTCGTTTCAACAAAGATCGCATCTATTACGTTAAGCGTCATTGAACAATCCTTTTGCCTTTCTCGATAGTTACTATTATACATTATTAAAAACAAGTAACTACATCACAGTTCTAATGGCTCAGTCGTTTGATCCGTTGATGCGTTCGTTTTATCGAATTTCATCTCATCTTCAGAACAGTAACGACGATCGTCAGAACCTTTATCCATGGGAACACATAAAAGTTATCATATGTGTATGAATTTAGAATAATGGTTTTTACCAAAAGAGAATTGTATTTCGGGATAACGCAGCAGGTACAAGAGCAAAATGGTTGAACAGTTTGACGATCGGTTACATATCCTGCGACCGTAGTATTCTAAAGCTGTTCGAAAAATAAAATGTAACGTTGATAAGTACCTTTTGTAAATACAGACGAAAGCTGATACACAAATACAATATGCGATTAAAAACACGAACCTTCGTCTATTATTTAATTATTTTTATCAAATATAACATGCATCGCGTAAAAAAAGATAAAAGCGATTTGTGTAAACGTCATGGCGACCATTGAATAATCTCGAAAGTATCGATCGATAGTCGATCCTCGTAATTCTCGTTATAAACTTTTCGTAGCTTACAATCTTATAATCTTATGTACAATTATTCGCTTTATGAAACTTGAAAAAATGTCTGTGAGATTTTAGGTAAAGTTCTTAGCATTTAGTATTCCCGTGATCTGTTACAAATCCGGAAATCTTCAAGATTTACCTTAATAATTAGAACCATATCAATATCCTTACAATCTTCTTGATATAAACGCTTATTCGCTGCACATCTTGAAAAAATCGCAAATACATGTAACGCTTTTCATTTCCTTCATCTTTTCCTCTTTTTTTTTTTTTGTTCGTTTTTGTTTTTCATTCAGACGGAATGGATATATTATGCATTGTATCACCAATGAGCTTAAATAGCTCTATTAAATCAAACTAAATATTCTGAAATACTGGTTCGAGAAAGAGATTTACACTGATTAAATGCAAATTAAAAATGCCTTCCAGACTAAAAACGATAATCGATTAACCGAAAAATTAAATTTTTCATAGAGATATTTTGATGTTTTGATATCGTTGCTATATAAAAACGCGCATGTATTAGAGAAAATTTGTATACCTCGTACATTTTATAGTAATGTCTTTAACACGTTTTAGAATATGAATATTTTTTTATAAGATTGCGCCATTTCTCTTTCTCTCGCTTTTTATCTTTCCCTCCCTCCTTCACCCTCTTTCTCTTTCTCTCACACACACGCATACACGTTGCATACAATAAACAGATCTTTTATTTATAGAAGAACATAAAAACAGAAGGTAAAGGAAAACAAGAAGATCAGATAAAAAAGCAACATCGAGCTTACTACGAGTATTCGCTATTATCAAATATCGAGACTTACACCTAAATATATGTTAATAAATACATCGCTCTGAATACATCCAACATGATACATGCATACTGTTATGACACGCAGATTGACTTTTTATTATTCGCATTATTATCGGGCCTGCAAACAGCCATCATTAGGGCCATTAATCTATCACTCCGTCAGTCACACTTCGCAATGAAACGAGTATGTAAACTTAAATTAATTTGTTCGGTCTTTTTCACGTTACAAGAATTATCCTAGTCGTAGCTCAAATGCACTACGATCAAGTCACGGTATATAAACATAACAAGACCAATCATTATTCGTAATCATAAGGACTAAACGGAAATAATACACATCGTATTGAAGTGTAATTATTTCACATTACTCGTACAAGCCCTAACTGTACGATTCGAAATAATGTAGTCTTTCACTACACCATTACGATAGCTTCTTCACCACAAAAGAGGAAAGGATATTGATCTATCATCGTCTGAACAACATCTTCTAAGTATGGTCTCATTGCTTCAAATCTGCCAAGATCGTTAAATTCTATAGGCAATAAAGTAGGCCACCAGCAGATTGCCAAATTTTTACTGTCCATACTGTTCAGCTTACAATTTTCAGCCACTCTAAAAATATATAAATGTTGCATTATAATGATTAATACTTAGATAATTTAAACTATAATGATAATAGAAACTTACTTTACAAAATGATGAAAGATAAATTTAAGTACATCAAAATTAATTGGATTCAATTTGTTGAGCATCAAACGTAGTGCCAATAGTCTGCAGCTTCGATCTATAATAAATCATAGATATTCATCTTAAACTATTGTCTTTTTAATCTCTTTATTTTGTATAAATTTACTTAATGATACTTACCTTCCATATTCATACATGTTGCGGACATCGGTTTGCTAATACCACGGGCACCTAAGCAAAAAAGAGTTAGCTTCAGCTTTAAACAAACATTTCGGTTAATGTTAAAATTATTATAATTTACCCGAAATGTCCTCGAGTTCGCTCATTCGTTCTTTGTCAATCAATGGTGGTAGCCTTTTTGAAAAAAAGTCTTTTAAAGCAGTCGCAACAGCATTTACAGGTATGTCCAATGAATGTATGTCCACGTTTCCATCTGCAATAATAAAACAAGTTCAAACGAATATATAAACAAAAATTAATACTTAGATATGAAATCATAGAAAAAACTTACCTTCTTCAAACTTTTGAAAGAGAAGTTCAACGTGTGCTCTATTTCCAGGAACCCTATATATCCCTTCAGAATCTAATCCTTCATCTTCAATAAATTGCACACATTTTTCGAGAAACAGAGGTATTCGATTTGTTTCACTTTGTGCAAAGTCTTCGATTAGCGGTTGTTGATTCATACTTAATGCTGAACTAGGGCCTTTAGTTTGTTTTATTTTTTCTTGCTTCTTTTTCTCCCTTTCTTTTTCCTTCTCCGCGTGTTTTTTAAGCTTCTCCTCTTTTTGACGACGTTTCTCTAGCTTCTCATCTTCTTTCGCTTTTTGTTTATCCTTCTTTCTGTTTAATTTATCGCCATCTTTGACCTTATTTAAAATACCAAAAAGAATGTCTTCAACAAAATTTATACAGAGACATAGCTTTACTTTGCCGTATATTTTTACTTACACTGGGAGAATTAATTTCTCGTGGAGACGAAACATCTAAACTGGATTCATCATCTGGAATGTTGCCAAAGGTAATGTCACTCCCCTCCTTTACCAAAATGATAATAATTTCATGCAATATCAAATATATAAGAAGAAATAATTCAGAGCAAACCTTCTGTTGTATCCTGTCTGAACCATCTTAAAAAATTATTGGGAAAAATTCTACAACTATTATTTAAAATTTGTGATATTAACAATTCATTAAAATCCTCGCAATCTTTATTCTTGACAGCTATTTCGAATTAATAATTCGTGAAACTAATAGTACAATTACAGAATCGGAACAATGGCGATAAACCTTTTCTAAAACGCGAAAGATATGAAGCATGCACACAAAAGCTACCAAACATTTTGTATTCTTTTTTAATATCTTTTAGCATGCAAAAGATTTATATTATGATACTAATGATAATCTTACTTACAGGAAGCACTAAACATTTCTTGAGTCATATGTTTTACATTGTAGGGATGTTGTAATGATGTAGGTAGATGTTGTGGCAATGAATTTCCAAATCTTTTTCGTAGACTAGCAGCAGCGTGTTTATATTGTTTTGCTCTCGATCTCGAGTGGTCCGGATCACTAGATTCGGAAGAATCTGGTGTTTCACTAGACACTAATGAGAAAATCGTCATATAACATATTTTAATAATGAAACAATTAACAGAATCATCATAATAAATGCATATAATACCTCTTTCTGTAGGATTTACTCGCCAACTTTTATCCTCTTTAACATTATAATTCAGACCAACAATACCATCCCCACTTCCCATGCTAGCCAATGATGGGACTTTAGGTGCAGCGACAGGTATAGCCGTACGTTTTTTTCGTATCCTTTTGTGCGATGGTGGTTTTTTGTTTACTTTACCTAAGACATCAGCAACCCTCTGTCTCTCCAAAGAACTCCATTCAGAATCAGAATCACTGTATGCTATAAAACAAATTATATAATTAATGAACATATATGCATTAATGAACTCCAATAAAAACTTTTTTAATTGAACGCTTACAGGGTTGTCCTTTCTCGCGTCTGTGACGTAACTTAGGTTTATTATTTCCGATAGAATCTTGTACTGAAGCATACATATAATCGCCATCGTAAGAAGGATATAGGCTTGGTACAACGTCTTTAACTTGGGCATATTCAGAACCTAAATCTACCAATTCAGGTGTAGCAAGAGGAGCATGACCCATAGTTATCTTCGGACCGTGTTCATCCTTTTCACCTACTGTCATTCTAGCTATGGCATCTGTCACATTTGAAAAATCTTTTAAATTTATTTTACCAGGTTGTTTTAAAGTTTGGCTATTTCCTTTCGGTCGCGGTTTTGCCTGGGAAATATGACGCCTGCCTGTTGTGAAAGCTCTATGGGAGTAACTATTAGTTACTCCATCTTGATGCATAAATGTATCTTTCACCCAACCTATTGCGATAAAAAAGGTATAAAAAAATGAAATCATATTTAAGAAGGTATTTTGTCATCTCTCCATTTCATTTCATTATTATAAAACTAACCGGATAATTTGTTTGTAATGTCTCCTGGTTTTAACAGATCTCTCTCTCTTTCTTCCCTATAAAAATCTACTTGGCTATAAATATCACTGTCGTCACTAGGCGTAGCTCTATTGTCTGCAAACTGTTCATTTAATCCCGTGTCTCCAAGATCACCATCAGGAGTTAATTGCTCGTACGATTCGGAACCACTTCTGAAAGTTACAGACATACTACTTCACATTAGATTTTTGAAGTACAAAGAAATTTTTATGGTAATCACAATTAATTAGATGACATTTTAAGGAGTGATTTCAAATTACTTACCCATCATCTGGTGTTTGAAGGTGATAACTTTCATGTCGTGGCGGCGGCATAGGATGTAATGCAGAGTATTCCAGAGTTCCTTCGCCACTATCATTCAGATTACCTGGCTCTTCCATATTAAATGCTTGTTCAATTTCAGGTTTTTTCTCCCATACCTCTTTGAAGAATGGGGTATAAAATGCCGCTGTAATATATATATTATGTGTAACACAATATGTATTTAAAAAACGAAATATTAAATTAAACTAAAAAATTTGATGTTAAAAAGTAAGTAGTGTCTTTAAATACTATAGCATACTCTTTTGTTGGCAACTGGATGCTGAGGTCATAAAATGCGCTTGCAATTTATCCGCAATTGCATTTCCTTCCGTGATAAGTAAATGACTTAAATCATTACTGAAGAAAGCATTAGCACCTCCAGTATCGGTCACAGCCATTATTTGTATCGGTAAGTTTGGTATATTCATAGAAAATGCACTATGAAAAAATGTTGAATTAAAATGATATAGTTTTGAAACATATAAAAATGATTATATTACACGTACTTAAGGGTTGCAAGTGATGCTTTCCTTTTTGTAGAATAAACCAATATGAAACCATGTACTAATTCGTCCCTAAATGCATTTGCTCCATGGAAACTAGAAATAATAACTTCAACTCTTCGTTTCGATTCTCCTAGAAATGTTTCTAAAACAATCGATCGATCGCCACTAAGGAAACAACATTGATGATTAAGTAAAGGACCGAGTACGTTCTCGACAGAATACGGATCCCCACAAAACATACACATTATTATTCTAAAATAAAAATAATATTGATATATTTTCTCTCTTCTTAACATATAATATAATTTGCTTAAAAATTATCTTACCTAATATCCGGTTCCAAACATTCAATAACACTTTGGTAAATATTTAAAAAACCAGCTCTGTGATTTATAGATTGTATAAGTTGCTGCAATGCATCTTTCACAAGCGGAGCAGGGAACCTTTTGTCTTGCTCTAAATCCTCTATGCAGACATCGATAAATGGACACTGTAGACTAATGTAAAAATTGACTGTTAATTTTTTTCTATCTACAACGAAATATAAAGTACATGAGTAATTAGTACCTATCAGCAAGATTTTGACCCTCTTTCCTAAGTCTTATTGCTTCTAATTCGTCTATAGTTGATTCTGGCACAAACATAATAACAATAGGTAATCCTTGAAATGGTAACCTATCTTCTTGTTCTAAATTCGACAATAAAGTTTTCTCTAAAGAAGAACGAATATATTCAAATGAATAATCGTCTGCGTAAATACAGAATGAACCTGTAAATTTAAAATGCTCTTAGACTTCTATTCTATATAGTATGACTATATGTATATATATATAATAACTATAGCATCGTCATATACCATGAGGCATAAAGTCAGAAGTAGTAAATGAATTGTGTGGTAGTCCGACGTCACCATCGATTATTCGATATCCAAGTGTATATAACTGACAATCAATTTCTACTTCGTCGTCCTCCGTTTGTGCTCTTATTTCACGAGCGAATTCTTCGCCAAGTCCACTGCTTCCAAGTATGACTAAATTTAATTGATTATTATCAGATGTTAATTGCCATTGGCTACTGTGATTCCATGAAGAAGGTCTAAAAAATCATTATTATAATAATATTGGAATATATAAGAAATTTTATTTTATCTGTCTAATTTAAAAAAGACTAAATCTTACCTGTGAGCTTTTGTTCCAAGTATACGTTCTATAAGTGCATCCATGCAATTTGGATAAGCTGGACAATGTTCCCTTATGGGACAATGTACAAAACCCAAATGTTGAAAAAGCATTAATTTTCTATCTTGATCTAGCCTATCTAAAGCCTTATACCTGTACACCATAAGAGATAATTCAAAAATATTTGTAAATTCGTTTAAAAAAGAGATAATTTTAATTAATTACCTAAAATCATCCACCAATGCATCTGTTATTTCTTTAATATCATCTTGTGTTATAGTACCAGATGGTGCTATACTTTTAAAATGATAAAACAAATCAGCATGTTCTAGTAGTAGTTCCTATAATATATAGAATCAGAAAGTACAATAGAATGTAAAATATTTAGATTGTTGTTATTATTATTTATACTAAAATGTGTATCCTTACTTGAAAATTATGTTTTGCTTTCTCAATAATCTCCTTTTGATGTTGATCATATATTTCTTGACAATCATGGTGAGAAAGAGCTTCAAAGCATTCTCTGCCCATAAAAAGAACTCTAACTTCAGACAAATGCTTTCCTGGTGTAACATAGCCAGTTTCTTCCAATAATTGCTTAAACTGTTTTTTCCATCTAATGAACAATGTATTTACATAAATATTATCAAATACTTTCCTTAGTAGAATATAATTATTTATAGATTATTTCATTATGAAGTCTCAAGTATACCAAAATATATATATATATATATATATATATATATATATATACACATATATATATTTATATATATATATTTTATATATATATATATTTATATATATATACATATATATATATATATATTTTTTATATATATATATATATATATATATATATATATATATATATATATATATATATATATATATATATATATATATATATATATATATATATATATATATATATATATATATATATATATATATATATATATATATATATATATATATATATATATATATATATATATATATATATATATATATATATATATATATATATATATATATATATATATATATATATATATATATATATATATATATATATATATATATATATATATATATATATATATATATATATATATATATATATATATATATATATATATATATATATATATATATATATATATATATATATATATATATATATATATACACATATATATATTTATATATATATATTTTATATATATATATATTTATATATATATACATATATATATATATAATAGCAAGTACAAGCAATAATAAATTAATAGGGAAAATAAGAAAAGTCAATAAACACAGAAATAGGTTAGAAATTTATATATATATATATATAAAACTATAAAAATGTTAGTACAGCTAATTATATATTTTTCTAAAAAACGATATTCTAGTATGTAAAGCGATAAAAAGCACAATTTACCTTTTAGGAAGTCTGCATAAAATAAACGCCACCCAGAATAAAGCAAAGCATTAATGTATTGCATATAAGTATTATTATCTAAAATGCTGAATAACTATATAACCTTAATAACTATGTTAAAGCATGTAAGGGAAAACTAGTGATTCTTTTGCTATTTCTAAGTAGTAGAATTTCAGCAGATAATAATTATAATAAAGTATAATCAAGAAATATATGCATATGTATATAATACTTACTCTAATCGCCGCTGTTCTTGTTGCAATATATTTATATGATTTTTGAAAACAGTTTCTGCTTCTGGTGTTTCCAAAACATCATAAGGAATCTTTGTTCCATTGTTTTCACCAAAATCACAATCAATCCACGGGATATCCTCGGGACATTCATAAAAATATTGATGAAAATCGGGATGTTCTTTTATATACTGTTGTACTGCAGACCACTCTCTATATAAATAAAATACATGGATTCAGTAAAACAACACCTTCCAATCGTAATTAAAAGATTTTAATTGGAAACATACTCATTAATCAAATTTGTTATATCAGGACATATTTCATGAAGAATTTCAGGTAGCATATCTAAATATCCTTGAATCTTCTTTGCCACTTGTTCATCTTTCAATTTCTTAATATGTCTCCTAAATAATCTTTGGGTTGCATCAATACCAAATAATTCTACAAATGTTGAAAATTCTTTATGTTGGGCTAGTTTTTTGGATGCTTGAGACCACAATGCTCTATAGTCGGTAACATGTATTCGAATCAATCTTTGTAAAGATTCTGTAGATGCATCCAATAATTCTTTTCTAGCTCTAGCTGCTTCCGCAAATGGTGTTAGCTTACTTCGCATTTTAGTTTTATCAATCAATTGGGCCAAAATCATAAATGCCAAATCAATATTGATATTTTCATGTGCAGATGTTTCAACTATTAAAATGGAACCTTTATATTCTTTACGCATTATTAATTTTTCAGCTTCTTTTACATATTGTTCATTAGCATCATCATTTTTAGTTGTTACCAAAACTATTGGTTTTTTAGTTTTCATTAAACTGTTCAATATATTTGCTACTATTTCAATCTGTTTTTCTATAGATCTATTTGGTACAACGCTTACATCAAATACACACAAAAAGCCATCAATATTTAATTTACCATCTGGTAAAACTTTTTGTTCATATTCTTTTTCTATACCTAATTGATTTTTGCAAATATACATAAGCTTTTCTGCACTAGTAATTTTGGTGGCTGCACATCGTTTTGCATAAGGTTCCATTTTACCACCCTTAAAAGGCTGAAATGATGCATCATCTATAAACTCTGTATGTTCTATCACTTGAAATTGATACTCTGTCCCATCCTCTGCTGTTTTTGTAACTTCACCCCAATATAGGAAATGATCATTATTCACCACCCGACCACTAAAATCTGACTGTAAAAGATAATAGCCAATTAATAAAAGAGTAATCACTGCAAAGCATACAAATGTATCTAACACATATTTAGCTATTACCTGTGATAACACTGATATATGGTCCACATTATAATCATCATTCAAAGAACGCATAAAACGATTACACAGACATGACTTTCCAACACCAACTTGTCCTTTATCTTTCTCAGTGCCAGAAAGACCAACAACAGCAACATTGATGGTTTTGATATTATCACTTTTTCTTGCCATTTTTAAAGCTTAACTTGATTAGATCACTTATATAATTAAGTGTGAAAATAAAAATCTTTTCTTCATCAAACTTTACTCAGGACATTTTTAAGTACCACTATTAATAGTTCTTCTTATTCATTTATCTTTGCAGTTATTAAACATCAGCATTTCTCCCTTTGGTCATTGTATCAAGTCTAAAAATTTATATGAAAATCAGCATTACCTCCCTTTGGTAACATTTTCAATAAAATGCTCTTTTATTTTATCTTTCCCATTCGTTTACAACATTCATATATCATGCTTCAAATTTTTGTATGACATGCAAATTTACATATGAATAATTATGAACAAATGTTGTTTGCCAAAATTTCATTTGAGCTTTGTTAATGTAATTGTTATTATCGTAGCTTCATGAATGATAAACTAACATCATTAGAAATTAGTAATACAGATCTTTAAAAATCTTTACACTTTATCTTTTTCTGTAAAGCATAACATTCATAATTTAGCACAGCTGTGAGCAATGGTTCTTTGGAATGGCACTGTGTATCTGAAAAAAAAAATATTCATAATAGACTAATAAACAATATTATGAAATGTTAGTTAGTTGCACTCATGTTTGCACTGATATCTTTATTATGGAAATTAGGTTAAATATTCATGATAGTATCCACTTCCTGAAATTCACATTAATAAGATATGTAAAATCACGTATAGAACTGCATTCATCATCACATGTATATGCACCACAAAATTACATTATAAAATATGCTTTATGTTAGTAAAACAAGAGATGAATCAAATGACAAGCAAACATTCGAAGCGAAAGTAATTTCCACATCAACTGAATTTATTAGAGATGAAAATAAATTATTTCTCATATTATACAGGTTATGGATTCAATGAAATAAAACGTTAAGAAACTTTTTGAAACACATTTCTACGTTAACCTCCATATATATAATACGAATCTTGTAATTTCTTAATAATTAGAAATTTAACATGATAATTTTCCGTGGATATTATGTTTAAAAATAGTTACAAATAGTACTACAATGATATTGTTTTTTGTTAAATCGCGAAAGAATATAATTTATAATAACGACGAAGTATTTCCATCGTGATGTAATATATAGCTATATCTCTCATTAAAAATACTAGATAAAGTCATAGACTTGTTATTAAAATTTACGAGACGTGATTCATGCAGCAGAAACAAATTATTCAATGTACAAATGACAGCTACGAATAGATCAATATGCATTGTACACAACCGCGGTCAATTTTGACACTGATGATAGAGTCCCGGGATTTCGACAAATTTTAATAAGATACACGACCAATATGCATGACACGCTGTAACTTATCTAAGCAAAATCAGAAAACCAATCAGAATATCTTGCTCCGTATAACAAAGGCTATGATACCTGTACAGATTTTTGTTCGGCAAGAGAACTATGTATTAGACCAACCGGCCGTCCCGTATAATTATTTTCTCCAGAAACTCGATCGATCCTTCACTGCTATAGAGCACGCACTCTTTTTTGATCTGTTTCACGTACACGGTGCACCGAAAGGCATCTACAACTTGTCTCAATGAACGTTTAATTCCAGGTGTGTAAATAACTTCACGTCAAACATCGAGTATTGCCCCATAAAGGAGCCATCTTGGTGGGTGGGCACAAGGCGATTAATGTTTTCAGGATAGATAGTATACGTCGAACAAGAACAAGGCCGTATCTAGCGTACTTCCTATGATTCATCTATATTTTAATATAGCATTTTTTCTTATGAACAAATTATTAAATTATACTAATCTTTTATTCTTATTCAATTAGATGCACAATTTATTACTAAAATTTCGTTCCGAGTTATATAACAAAAAAGTAAATAAGTAAATGTATCACTAATTTGGAAATGATTCCAATATATTTCAAAATAAATAAAAATGTTTTATTTTGAAGACTTTAGAATACTCTGGTAAAATAAATTTAGTTAAAGTAAAACTATTATATCGTTTAAATTATAAGACAATGATCCTTTGGTGCAACTATTATTTATCTAAATTAATCAATTATTTATGAACAGTATGACAGTATCGACAAAAAGCACCTGGTTGTAAGCACATCGTGATTACGCTCCTGCAAGACCATAAAGGCACCACCTGTCGTTGAGTGAACGCACTAGTTTGACTTCGAATCGAAAATGGCTGACAGCGGGGATGCTGTGAATAGTACGTCTTCAGGGAAAGAGGCTAGAAATACCGTTACCGATGGTCCTGTCACCGATCCAGCATCAAACAACAAGGTAGATTGAAGAATGCTATCGCCAAATAATTAAACAAACGGATTATTTTAACTTCGATTTTGATAACGTAAAATCATGACACTGCGTTGCCACGAGTATTGTATTTACCGCCGTATTAGTTTCGGGCTAATTAAATCACTTATAAAAATAAAATATATCTTTTTTAATTTATACTTTCATTCCATCAAAAGACAATGATTTAACAAAGATATTGTGCTTTCTTTATTTCATTGTTTTTATGTTCTTCTATTATGTTAAATTATTTGTATTAAGTCTTTCATTTACCTTTATCTTCCTTTACCTGTGTTTTGTTTTTTCTGTCATATTTCAGCCCAACCCTTTCAAGTCTTATGACCACATGTTGCTGTTATATAATACAACACATGGTAGTAATTAATGTATGGTCTTGTATATAACTTCTGTCTATTGTCAAACAAATAACTTCCTTCTATTGTTATTTCAAATTGAAAGATCCATAATCTTGGAATCATGATTCTTATAATATACTTCATAAGTATATTGTTAGGAAAACTGGATACTAATCTTATTTATTAATAAAATGTAAATTCTGGTTTATTTATTAAATTTACTGTGAGTTTAAATGTGTTTTATGACATAATGTTATTGAAAATTATTGAAAGTTATTGAAAGATATATATACAATACTAAAAAAAAAGTAATGAAAACCTAATTTATAAACAGACTGGATATATGCCTTTGCCTCAAAAGTATTTTTCCGTTTAAAAAACTATTGTAATTGGCACTTTATCGTTGTTACACAATATGCAAATGATGTTATGATAATTGGCATGAAAATTGCAGACAATTCATATACATGAGTTTAACTGATAAGAACAATCTTCTAAAGCAACATTCTAAGTACTTTGTTCTAGATATTGACATTTTCTAATTCAACGTGAAAAAGTTTTTAATATTTTAGTTTTTTCAGACAAAAGATATTTCATTTTCTTCATACATTTTTTAATTTATCATTCTTTTACTATATATCCTTCTATGTATAACAGTACTTTAGCATATTAACTATCACAAAAGAAATTAAGTCTTTTAATATCTTCAATGACATCAAATGCATAATACATATATATATATATATATGTATAATTTCAACTTTGATAATGCAAAAAACTAAAAAGTGATTTGCATGCTATTACACATATTGCCTGCTATCAAGGCGCTTATATTATTTTACATATAGAGCATTATTCTCACAGTAGTCCGTAGGTTCGGTACCAATCACTCATGCATCACTCATTATATGCCTAAATACACCATATAGGCATGGCACAATTAGCACTACTGAACCAATGCATTGAGTACAACTGAGGAATGATTACAAAACAAAAAAAGAAGAGGGGGGAGATACCTTTGTGTACATAAAACTGATATCTTATATAAATCAAGTTTTACTTACAAGTACAACCTTTGGGAGCTTTGTACCTAACTACGGACTGTATTATGAAAATTTGATCCAATTTGAATTATGATGGTGGTTGTTGTGATTTCAGAGCCTAGAGGCATCAAATAGTGCCTTTCACGGCGCGAGAACAAAATTAGTAAGTAAGAATATGTGTGTACAAAACACAAGTAAATTTGTACTCCTTTCCATAGAGCAATCCTTGCAATTTCCTCAGGGCTGCTTTAATTCCTATGACAACATAAATGTGGTATGTGCCAATGGGTTTATCATTTTTGCTTTCCCATCAAATAACACAGTAATAATAAGACGATCCTTTTATCAAAGTGCAGCCAAATACTTCATTAGAGTACAAATAACAAGAACAACATAAAATCAAATGATATTACACCAAAAATCGTCTATATTAAACTGTGTCCATTCTATCAAATAAAATAGCTTTATTTGCATTTTTTCTGTTTGTAGTCCATTTCCATCTGTTGCAGCCCTTTTGAAGATGAGAATTATTTACAATCTCATAATTTATTTGACCTTTTAAATGTTTAGGATTCCAAGTCTGGAGCTTTGAAGAAGTCCAGCCGTTATCGTAGTCGATCTTTGTCAGCCAGTAGCACAGATAGTTACAGTTCTGGTACGAATACGGTCATTACAGTGTTGTACATTTAATTATTGTAACCTGATTATTATTAACGTATCGCGGTTAATTTTAGCATCTTATACAGGAAGTTCATCGGACGAAGATGACGTGTCACCTCGTGAAAAACTTCAAAAAACAGAAAATGGTTTCACAGATTTTTGTGTACGCAACATTAATCAACATGCATTTGGTAGAAGAGAGATAGAAATAGCGGAACAAGAAATGCCGGGAATTATGGCACTTCGTAAACGTGCCGCCGATGATAAGGTATACAAATTATTTACTACAAAAACAAAACTAAGCAATATTAATGTGTATAATAAACAATTATTTCAAACAGCCATTGAAAAATGCTAAAATCGTTGGGTGCACTCACATCAATGCTCAAACTGCTGTTCTTATTGAAACCTTAGTACATTTGGGTGCACAAGTTAGATGGGCAGCATGTAACATATATTCTACTCAAAATGAAGTGGCTGCTGCACTGGCTCATGCTGGTTATCCAATTTTTGCTTGGCGTGGTGAAACAGAAGAAGATTTTTGGTGGTGTATTGATAAATGTGTAGCTGCTGAAAATTGGCAACCTAATATGATATTAGATGATGGTGGTGATGCAACACATTTAATGCTCAAAAAATATAATGCTATGTTTAAAATGATTCAAGGTTTGTCCATTGTTTCTTTTGCAGCCAAGTAGATAATAATAATGTTAATTTCTAGGAATTGTTGAAGAGAGTGTAACAGGTGTACATAGATTATACCAATTATCAAAAGCAGGAAAATTATCCGTCCCTGCCATGAATGTCAATGATAGTGTAACAAAAACTAAGTTTGATAATCTTTATAGCTGCCGCGAAAGTATTATCGATAGGTAAATCAATTGTAAATCAGTTATTGAAACACACTAAAAGTATCTGCTAATTGCTTCTACTTAGATATCTTATTGCAGCTTGAAACGATCCACAGATATTATGTTTGGTGGAAAACAAGTTGTAATTTGTGGTTATGGTGAAGTTGGTAAAGGTTGTTGTCAAGCCCTTAAGGGTTTAGGTTGTATCGTTTATATAACTGAGATCGATCCAATTTGTGCTTTACAAGCGAGGTAGATGGTTTAAAATAAAATACACTGTATATTACATAAACGATAATACAATTATTCATACAGGTATTCTTTACAGCATGGACGGTTTTAGAGTAATGAAACTGAACGAAGTAATCCGAAATGTAGATATCGTTATTACCGCAACTGGCAATAAAAATGTAGTTACGCGCGAACACATGGATAAAATGAAAAACGGCTGCGTAGTATGCAATATGGGACACAGTAATACCGAAATAGACATTGTACGTTCAAATTTTGACAATATATAACTACTTCCTTTAAAATTCGATTAGATTTTCAACTAGAGTTTGTAGGGAAAAACTCGTATTTCTTATATTTCAGAACAAAAAAAAAAAAGAAATATATTGATAAGACATTAAGACTCCTTTAATATGTTCTTAACAGAACAGTTTACGCACGCCCGATTTAACTTGGGAAAAAGTAAGGTCTCAAGTGGATCATGTTATCTGGCCAGATGGAAAGCGCATCGTGTTATTAGCGGAAGGCCGATTAGTCAACTTGTCTTGTTCCAGCATCCCCTCATTTGTTGTGTCGATCACAGCCGCTACCCAAGCGTTAGCACTAATTGAACTTTTCAACGCACCATCAGGGCGATATAAAAGTGACGTTTATCTGTTACCAAAAAAGATGGGTAAGCCTAAAATATCTTTATGTTCCATTATTATTCAATTAAAGTAAGCTGTAAAACAATAATACTACTCGATAGATGAGTACGTGGCTTCATTACATTTACCAACGTTTGATGCGCATTTGACGGAACTAACAGATGAACAAGCCAAATATATGGGACTTAATAAGGCTGGACCTTTTAAGCCTAATTACTACCGGTTAGTACATTTTATGCTTCAGTTGGAATTGCCACTTAATTTTATTTATTTAAAGTCATTATCTAAATTTATTTCAGCTATTAAAAATACGTGGATAAACAACGTGACACAGTATATGCAATAATCGGAATTTGCGTTTATGAGTATTGAAAAATAAGTGCTTCGTTTTATTGAAGTTTCTTCTATTAATTTTATTTATCTGAATTAATAGAAACGTATAATAGGATTTCATGTTATCTTTAATATAATTCTATTTTCCTTATATATTTCGAAAAGTATTTCTATATGATTCCAACCAAAATATTGTCAGCACTGGCTGCAATAATCAATAACCAGGAGTTATATAAGTAAATATATATTTAGTTAACCT